CCCAAGATCCTGGAAATTATTGGTTTAGAGTCCGTGGTATGGCTGATTGTGGTGAATCACAGAAACAAGGTCAGGCTTTTGCTATCATCAGATATGAAGGTGCTTCCGAAGAACAACCGTCAGCTTCGTCAAATTATTTGGATTCGAAGCGCGGAGGAATGGTAGGTTTGAATATGGCAGTCCCTTTTGAATTTGACAAGATCCCAAAAGTAACAATAATAGATGTCAATTCCTAGACTAGCTTAAATAGATGTCAATTTCCTGAAGCACCTGATTCCAAAACTATGATAAACTTTAGAGACCACCTTAAGTTTTACTGTCACCACTCAGCCATTATTAGCAGGTTGAATGTCGTTTGACAATGTCAATTCCTAGACTAGCATAAATAGCATTCCCGGAATCACCTGGTTCCAAAACTAGACTTCAGAGACCCCTTATAGTGTTGCGGTCACTACTCAGGGATACAAAAAAGAAGGTCGAAGTTCAGAAAAAGTATTCATTTGACAAGTAACTGAAAATATTGGAATTGATATTACCTTTGGCAACACTTTTCAGTCATGAGGACTGGATAGTTTGCTTATATTTTAACATAACTAATAATTGAGACCAATTTAACTTCACTTGTATTTCAGCTTCTAAATCCATGGAATGAAAAAGCAACAGAGACTAAACTACCAGTTACCAAATTAAATGCTTTAATAGAAGATTTTGATGGAATGGACGGGACTCCAGATAAGAAATTTTATGTGACCTTCGACTTCAATAAACTAGACAATTTTCATTTCAACCATCCGGAGTTATATCCTCTTCAATCCATCAACAAAAACAAGCATCTGTACTCACCACAGATGAATGGTATATCAAATCATCTCCCTTCATCTCCACCATTAACTCAATTTGATGACGTTTCAGAGGTAAGTACAATATAAAGAGGAGCATCCTCGTGTTCTTCACAATATTGACACATGGGAGCAGGACAGACAAGTTCATCAAAAGGAAGATGTTCAATACAATATGTTGATACTTAAGAGGCTTGGCAAGATCATGTTAGGTTGATATTGACTATGATGACGTACCAGAGGTAACGAGGGGAGGTGGAAGGCTCGGGCTCTATATAATACGATGTTCTACTTTTAAAAGGAAGGCGTTGATTATAATGTCATGACGGATGTAAAGATATTGTTCCGTCAATTCAAACGGAAAAGGTGTCCATGATAACATTATTGTATAAACATAATATATTTTGTATTTAGGAAATGTACTGTAATGTTGATACTGTGAAGAACAAGAACTGTAGTCGAGAATTCTGTCAATGTGTACATAGATTAGTGGTAGATTTAAATGATGTGGTAGAAATTATACTAATAGATGAAGGGGTGACATTTAATGCCAACCATCCGACACATTTACATGGTCATACTTTTAGGGTAGTAGGTATGGGCAAGGTAAGTCAATATGGCAGTTTCATAAGGGAAGACCATTCTACTTTGGAGGACTTATTTTTGATAAACATGCTTTCCTCAGCACTTCGTGAAATTATGCTCGAGTCTCAAAACATGCCTTCTCCAGCACTTTGTGAAATTATGCTCGAGGCTCAAAACATGCCTTCTTCAGCACTTTGTGAAATTATGCTCGAGGCTCAAATCATGCCTTCTCCAGCACTTTGTGAAATTATGCTCGAGGCTCAAAACATGCCTTCTCCAGCACTTTGTGAAATTATGCTCGAGGCTCAAAACATGCCTTCTTCAGCACTTTGTGAAATTATGCTCGAGGCTCAAAACATGCCTTCTCCAGCACTTTGTGAAATTATGCTCGAGGCTCAAAACATGCCTTCTTCAGCACTTTGTGAAATTATGCTCGAGGCTCAAAACATGCCTTCTCCAGCACTTTGTGAAATTATGCTCGAGGCTCAAAACATGCCTTCTTCAGCACTTTGTGAAATTATGCTCGAGTCTCAAAACATGTTTTCTCAAGCACTTCGTGAAATTATGCTCGAGTCTCAAAACATGCCTTCTTCAGCACTTTGTGAAATTTGTTTGTTAGGTGATTAAAAAACATGCCTTCCTCAGCACTTGAAATAATGATCGAGTCTCAAAACATGCCTTCTCAAGCACTTCGTGAAATTATGCTCGAGTCTCAAAACATGCCTTCTTCAGCACTTTGTGAAATTATGCTCTATTCTCAAAACATGCCTTCTCAAGCACTTCGTGAAATTATGCTCTATTCTCAAAACATGCCTCCTCAAGCACTTCGTGAAATTATGCTCTATTCTCAAAACATGCCTTCTCAAGCACTTCGTGAAATTATGCTCTATTCTCAAAACATGCCTCCTCAAGCACTTCGTGAAATTATGCTCTATTCTCAAAACATGCCTCCTCAAGCACTTCGTGAAATTATGCACGAGTCTCAAAACATGCCTCCTCCAGCACTTTGTGAAATTTTTTTGTCAGGTCACTCAAAAACATGCCTTCCTCAGCACTTCTTGAAATAATGCTCGAGTATCAAAACATGCCTTCCACAGTACTTCTTGGAATTATGCTCGAGTATCAAAACATGCCTTCCACAGTACTTCTTGGAATTATGCTCGAGTATCAAAACATGCCTTCCACAGTACTTCTTGAAATAATGCTCGAGTATCAAAACATGCCTTCCACAGTACTTCTTGAAATAATGCTCGAGTATCAAAACATGCCTTCCACAGTACTTCTTGGAATTATGCTCGAGTATCAAAACATGCCTTCCACAGTACTTCTTGGAATTATGCTCGAGTATCAAAACATGACTTCCACAGCACTTCTTGGAATTATGCTCGAGTATCAAAACATGACTTCCACAGCACTTCTTGAAATTATGCTGGTGTCTCAAAACATGACTTCCACAGCACTTCTTGAAATAATGCTCGAGTATCAAAACATGCCTTCCACAGCACTTCTTGAAATTATGCTGGTGTCTCAAAACATGACTTCCACAGTACTTCTTGAAATTATGCTGGTGTCTCAAAACATGCCTTCCACAGTACTTCTTGAAATTATGCTGGTGTCTCAAAACATGCCTTCCACAGCACTTCTTGAAATTATGCTGGTGTCTCAAAACATGCCTTCCACAGCACTTCTTGAAATTATGCTGGTGTCTCAAAACATGACTTCCACAGCACTCTGGTAATTAAGCTGGGGTCTCAAAACCATACCTTTCATCTTTCATTTTTTATATTTCAGTTGAATGTATCAACCAGTTTGGAAGAAGTGATGAGATTAGACAGAGAAGGATTAATAGAACGT